CGCCTTCCTCCCCGCCCCCTCCTCTTCCTCTCCCTCCGCTTCCCACCTGTCCCCCTCCAGCCTCAAGTCTCCCCCTCTGCTCCTCCCTCTCACCTTCCTCCTCCTCCTACCCTTCCATCCCCCCCTCTCTCCCGTTCAAACTCCACTTCCCGGCCGCCTCCTCCCCTAACCCTTCCCCTCTCCTGTGCTCACCAACCCTCTCCTCCCCGGGTCTGCTCTCCCTGCCCTCCGACACCTTCCCGCCCCTCTCCTCCCACCTCCTCCTTCTGGCTCCCTGTGGCCTCCTCCTTCCCCCACCGACGCCCTCATCCACGCTTCTCATCTCTTCCCTTTCCTCCACCTCCCACTCCTTCCTGATCCCGCCCCTTTTCTTCCACACAATTCCTCCAACCCTTCGGCCCCTCCCCTCCCTCCCTAATCTCTCACCCTTGTCCTGGCCCCCCACCCGCCTCTTTCTCTTCTGCACACCCTTCTCCTTTTTTTTTTTTTTTTGCCACTTCCTTGCCCCTCACCAGTGTCCAGCGACAGGACAGCCTCAGAGCATCCATAGGGACAGGAGATGTTGGCAAGTTTCATGGCACTGAGGTCAAAGGGCCCGAAGTAGACGTGTTGAAAGCTGTAGCATTGCAGGGCCTGGGTCACTGAGGGGAGGAGCAGGGGTGGGTGAGAGGCGCAGGCCGGGGATGCCTGTCCGGAGCACTCGGGACTCCACCCTGCACCTGACCGCCACACCTCAGGCCGTTCTCTGAGGGGAGACAGGCTCTGCTGTCACCACTGGTCATGGCTGTTCTGCCCAGAGCCAGACTAAAGGCCTGAGACAGCACTTGCCAGTCCAGTCCTCACCCCCCACCCCCAGGCTGTTCCAGGTCTGGACTCTCCGGGAACCTCGCTAAGCCTTAAATAGGAGGAGATGATTCACGCCTGCTCTGCCTGTCCCTCTCCCAGCTGCACTTGTGATGTTCAGTTGCACGGAAAGGCCACTGATGGAGAGCAGATGTGCCAGCCCAGCAGCAGGATGGGTGACCTTGAACGACACATCCACAGCCAGCCCCAGGATACGCACACAGAGCCCTTAACCACTGACACCAACGCAAAGGAACAAGACTGGCAGGCTCTTGCAAACCTCACAGGTGGGCACAGAGTATCCTGAAGGCATCCATTCACCCGCAAAACAACAACCCAGGCCAAGGCATAACACCTCACACACGCAAAATCCCATTCACACACAGAAAGATGTGCGGCTATGGAACCAATAACCCCACACAGAAACCCGGGAGCACAGGAAGTCACACGTAAGTAGAGAGACCACAAGTATGTGTAGTCAGAGGTACATGAAAAAGATCCACGGAAGCGTCAAGTCATAGGTACGAGACACATGGAGTCATGAGACAGAGGTACACAGGGCGACACACACACATGTACACAGAAAAATGCAGGCCTGCCGATCGCATAAATACAAAGAGAGACATGGATGCACAAAATTATACATTAAACAGTGAAGTAAGAGATATATACACCGTAAAAGCATTTGTTCAAACACCTAGGCACCAAAACCTGACGCAGAGGAACGCACACAAGCACAGAGACCCACGGGATATGGCGACACTCTGACACACACACTGCCTGCCGCCCGGGGAGGGGCACACCCACATCAGCTGCGCAGACATAGCCTCCTGCCCACCGCTCCAACTCCTGGTCTTTGTAGCCACTTCAGTCCCTGTTCTTACCCAAATTAGGGGAAGGGGGTGCCTGAGGATGAGGCCAAGGTTCCCTGACAGTTTTGTAAAGAGCACCCACGGCTCCCCGGCGTGCCCTGGAGTGGGGTCATGGGCAAGGAGGATGAGAAAGACTGAAGTGGCAGGAAGACAGATGGAGAAATTGATTGAGAGGGCAAGAGAAACGAAGAGGACACAGTCTCCAGGCCTCTCCATGACCAAGACCCAGGAGTCCAGGCCCCAGCCCCTCTCTCCTCCCTCAGACCCAGGAGTCCAGGCCCCCAGCCCTCTTCCCTCAGACCCAGGAGTCCAGACCCCAGGCCCTCCTCCCTCAGACCCAGGAGTTCAGGCCCCAGCCCCTCCTCCCTCAGACCCAGGAGTCCACCAGGCCCTTCTTGTCAGTGGACTCAGCAGTCTGGCTACCTGTCAGGCAGAGAACAGACCCATAGAGGCAGAGCAGGATGGCTCTGGGGGCTCCCATTGCCAGGTCGTGGAGCTCAGTGGAGACACCGTGGACAGCTCCTGCTCTGATTTCTGCTGGGCTGGTTCTCCCTGCCTTGCTCCAGGCATCCCAGCTCCCCGGCCTGGCAGGATTCCTCCACCCCCGCCCTCCCTCTTTAGGGCTGGTCTCCTAGACATTCATGGTGGGGTCACGATGACTCCTGGGCACTCTTTTCCTGGGGGTGTGGACTCTGGGGGATGTACAAATTGAGGGGGAGGGGGAGAGGGAGAATGTGAGAGAGTGGGAGAGG